TATATATATATATATATATATAGACATAGACATCTATTATGAAACATAACAATTCATATATACACATATAGGCAAAACTAGTTTTTCCTTCATGTATTCTCTCATTTGACATTTCTTTCCATGTATTTCTATAGCCTTAGTAGTAATAGTAATAAAACAGGAATCTAGTTTTGTTTTTGTTTTCAGATACAGAAAATTAAAAAAAAAAATCAGTTACCTATGATCATTTGCAATGGTACAGATCTTGAAGAAAAATGGAAAGTTTTTTCTTACCAGCTAAACTTAAGGGCCAGAAAAAAAATTTTCAGAAATGAGATTCTATTAAGGATGTGGGGGCTTTTCTATATCCACAATATTACTGAGGGGAAAAATCATAGAACAGTGTATATCCGTCACAGTCTCACTTAAAATATACCTATACTATTTATAAGTAAAACCAAAGTGTCCAGAATGATCCACAGAAAATATTAGTGATTTTCAAAGTCTGTGGGATTGGATGCGGTAAAAGTGGATAAATTGCACTATTTAGGCTGAACGCTTTTACTTAAAATCTGGAGACGTTACTTTTGTAATAATAAAACCTCAGCTATTTAAGTCTATGGACATGTATTTCCACGAGGTGGTTAAACGTGGGAGGAGGTCCTTGGTAGTGAGTGACAGTACCTGCCATCTCCACACCTGAAACACAACTGAGCGTAAAAGGTGGCCATTCAGGGGTCCCTGGGTTACTCTGTCAGTTAAGCATCCAACTCTTGAGTTGGGCTCAGTCACGATCTCACAGTTTATGAGTTAGAGCCCACACTGGGCTTTGCATTGACAGTGAGGAGTCTGCTTGTGATTCTCTCTTTCACTCTCTCTCTACCCCTCCCCACTCATGCGCGTGCTCTCTCTCTCTCTCCCTCAAAATAAAAAAATAAACTTAAAAATAAAAGAAGGCGGCCATTCGTAGTCTCTCTAGGTATATCTCTTGGTCAACATAATTCTAACACTATCTTGATTTTCAGGTGTGGGGTTAGCCACCAGAAAACTGGGAAACTTGGCCAAACCCCGAGTGATCATCAGCAAGAAAGGGGATATTATAACTATAAGAACTGAAAGTACGTTTAAAAATACAGAGATCTCCTTCAAGTTAGGCCAAGAGTTTGAAGAAACCACAGCTGACAACAGGAAAACAAAGGTAAATTTTAATGTTTCTCTTCAAAGTTGGATCAGTCTGTGGCTCAAGAGGATTATTCCTATTAGTGTTCAAAAGGGTAGACCTACTTCATTCCACTGAAAATGAATGTGACTTGGGGGCACTGGCTAGCTCAGTCACAAGGCTCTTGATTGTGAGTTTGAGCCCCACGTTGGGAGTGGAGCCTACTTAAAAAAAAATAAAATAAGGTAAAAATAGAAAAATGAACGTACCTCGTGAGACATCTATTATGAAAACAATTCAATACTGAATGAACGGCTTCTTTAATCAACCAAAGTCCAAGCAACTTGATTATGGGAACTTGTCTTTGCAGAGCACTGTAACCTTGTCAAGAGGCTCATTGAATCAAGTGCAGAAATGGGATGACAAAGAGACAACAATAAAAAGAAAGTTGGTGGATGGGAAAATGGTAGTGGTAAGAATATTTTCACTTCTAAATACAAAAATAATGCTATTTAAATAGAGAAACTGGTTATATATTTTTTTCGAAATATTCTTTTTTTTCCCCTTTGCAATACAAATAGATAAAAATGGCTAAGAATAAAGTCAGAGTTAATGATTAGGTGATGTTTTAACCATGAAGACTCAGCGATAAGTACTTCAAGTATAGGTCCAAGGTTTTAGAAATAACAAAGCCCATTCATTATTTTAGAAATAACACCTAAAATAATAGTAAAGTCAAAAAAGTATGTATAAATATCACCAGTTTGGATTCACAAAGAGAAAAACAAATCTAAGTTTTAAAAGCAAAGTATTCCTGAACAGCTCAATTATAAAATATTTGTAGCTAAGTGTGTTGCTTTCAAGAATCCAAAGAACTTGAACTAAACCAGGGCAATAATTTAAGCTCAGCTCATAGGAAACCCTTTAGTTAGCAGATAAGAATGATGACCAGGGTTGCATGGGATGGCCTTTAATGATTTAAGTTTTTGCTTCTGTGCTTACTAATACATACAGTGAATATAAATTCATGTAATTTTAAATGTTTTTTTTTTTCCCTATAGTTTAGAGATTCTTATCCCTACCTACAACATAGATTTAGATGGGAAGTGAATACCAATATATGGCCCCAACACAGATCAATTAAATGCAAATCTCTGGGAGGGGAAGAAGGAGCCATCAGTATTTTTAAATGTTCCTCAAATGATGCAGATATGCATACAGTTTTGAAATCCACTTTTAGTAGAGTCAAATGCATGCAAATTATGCATAAAAACCTGCCACTTTAAGAAAATTCTTCTATAGTAACATAGATTGACTTCAAAACTGTTTCTCCTATTTCAATTATTATAATTCTGAATTGCTGGAGACTGACACATTGATATTCTATTTCTTTCTAAGTTTAATGTTCTGAGCTTGTTTTTACTTTCTGTTGCTATTTGCAAATTTGCCGTTTTCTAGTTTGAGTTTTAGATACTCAATGAATCTCTCTCTTTTCTTAAGGAATGTAAAATGAAGGGCGTGGTCTGCACCAGAATTTATGAGAAGGTCTGAGAAAATCATTTCCTCATTGAAGTGGCATTTGATCATTTGATGTTGGAAATCAACGGTTTTTGTTGGCAAGGCCCGACTACACTGCAATTTGTTTGTTTTTGCTTTTGTCTTAATAGATCAGAGAGGTAAAGGTCTAAACTGAGGATTAATCTAAAATTCAGTGTTGTTGAAACATTTTCGATTTGCATGCATTTCCTTACTGTATTAAAGTATGTATACTGGCCACACCTAAATACTTGATAACGTCATTTAGTGATCTGTGAAATTCTAACTTATGTTGTACTTTGTGCATCGAAGTGCAAGTAAAGCAAGTAACTGGATAGTAAAAGGAAGTAAATGTATTGATCGGGGTAGCAGGAGCATAATGGGAAGAGGATCAGAAGCGAGACAAACTACAAGGAAAGGATTTAAGTCAGAGTTCTATCCCAGCGAAAAGGGCAGCCTCTACTCAAGCCAATTGTTTGAAAATTGAGGGGTAATTTATGGACAATGAAATGCACAGATATTAAGGGTAGAATTCAAGCCATTGTAACAAACTCACGCACCCATATAACTCACATCCCGATCAAGATAGTGGTGCCTTTCCTTAATCCCAGAAGGTTTGCTCATGCCTCTTCCCAATCACTGTCCCGCCCTGTCCCATTTCCACCAAAAGCAAGTAGCGATTTGGTTTCTATCATTTGGTTTTGACATTATACTTTTCTTTCATGTTTGGGTTTTTATACAAAGAATATTATTTTTAATCCAAAAAAGTATACATTTTTTAAATGAAAAGGTAACCAGGAAAATTCTTAAAATCTTTTTTTCTTATTTTTTTTCTAATGTTTATTTATTTTTGAGAGAGAGAGAGTGTGGGCAGGGGAAGGGCAGAGAGACAGAATCCGAAGCAGGCTCCAGGCTCTGAGCTGTCAGCACAGAGCCCAACACAAGGAGACTTGAACCCTCGAACGGAGAGATCATGACCTGAGCCAATGTCTGATGCTTAACTGACTGTGCCACCCAGGTGCTCCTTAAAAATCTTAAAAAGAGGATAACAACTGCTTCCATTCTACGCAGTATGAGCTATCACTTTGTGCATGTGGACATAATAGTACTCATCTGTAACCACAGTGCTCATACTTTTTTTGCATTCTGCTTTTTGTAACTTTCACAAGGATTCTTCCACATTTCAACTAATGATATGCCATAATTTATTATGGTTCTATAATACAACTGTTCTATTTTTATGTTATGCCCAGTTTGGAGTTATTACAGATTATTTTGCAAAAATTGCCTTCATGTATATATCTGACTGTGCCGACTACTTTTTCTAGGAGAGGGATCACTAAATCAAAGACTAATAGAAAACCTGATGGGTTCTTAGTAAATATTTCTGCATTGCTTTCCTGAGCATTGTCACTGATTAGCGACAATGTAACCAGCAGTACACACATATAGGACAATGTATGAACACACATCCTAGGCTAATAATAACAGCTACCAAATGTTATATGTGTACTGTGTGCCAAGTTCATTTACTCTCTATCAGATGATTTACATGTCATGTTGCCGTATTTAATATAACTTCACACAACAACCCTAGCAGGTAGATCTTATTATTATTCCCACTTTATGAAAGAGGAAACAAGTGTAGAGTAACTTGTGCAAAATCACAAAGTGATAGAGACAGGATTTGCCTCTGTCTGACGAGAGGCCAGTTGCTAAACCTTTATTTTGCCTCCTTGGCAACACCTCTCTATTAGAAACATGTCTGTTTCTTGTAGTATCTCTAAAGGTGTGCCATTAGAGATTATTTTTGCCTGTTCTTGGAGTTCATATAAATGGAATCACACATTATGTGTTCTTTCTGTTTGCCTTTGAAAACTCAGCATAATGCTTTTGAAATCCATCCATATTGTTGCATGCATTAGTAGTTTGCTCTTTTTATTGCTAAGTAGTATTCTATTGCATGAACATATCAGTTTGCTTATCCATTCTTCTCTTAAGATAACTGGCCTATATCCAGTTTTTGGCCATGATGAATAAAGCTACTATAAACATTCTGGTACAAGGCTGTTGGTGGACCTCTGAGTTCCTTCCTTGTATAAATAGCTGGGCATAGAATTACTGGGTCCATTTGATTTTTCACAGGCAGGAAGTGTGACTGCTGTGCCCAAGTAATAATGAAACTATTTCAGATGTATTGTATGACTGAGCAAATGAGAAGTGTGTTGATGTTGTTAGGGGCCAGGATTTCACTGTGGAAGAGGAACATAACGAATGAGGGGGGCAGGCAAGAGAGAATCATGTGAGAATGGATTGGAACAGATGTAAATTTATGGTTTCTAAGGCATGCGTATATTTGTCCATATGTGTATTAATTGTACATGCATACCTGCATGCATTTATGTGTGCGTATATACACATATTTATGTGTATGTGTATATACACCCATATATTTCCTAGCTCAATCTGCCCAAAGAGCTTAGAAGCAATGACACCTCAGTAGGAATGAGCCCACTTAGTGCCCAGACCTTGGTGACCAATATCATTTCCTACTAAAAGGAATGAGGATTCCTTGGAGAAACAACTAATTCTAATGGGATGTCAGGGTAGGTACAAGATGAGCCTGAAATATTTTGTTATACCAGAAAGTAAGGAAGTGTTTAAAAAAAATAATAGAGGCAAGCCACCAAAACATGGAAGCCAGCTTGGAGGTGCTCCCCTTGGTAAAAACTGGGACAATTTGAAAAATAATTGAGAAAAATAATAACTTATAAATCATTGAAGGAAAAATAAGGATCTATGAATCCATAATGATAACAGGGAGAAAGAGAAGAGTGTCCCTTACATCAGAATGCCATTGGCTGACTGGTAAATATGGAAGGAGTGTTAGAAATGGAAGTCATCATTATTCAACCATCACTGTAAATATTGGCTCAGGCAAGAATTGCCAATGAATGCTAAATCCAGAGGGAGATTTTGATTAGGAGGATATTCATTTGGTAAGAAACTATCTTAAGAAAGTATCTCTTCACAGATTGATGATGAGTTATGAGGGGAAAAAAGTTTAACTTTGCAGTGGAAAAATTGGATAACCCCTTGACTGGGTAATCACCCCTAACATTACCAATGAGGGGCAGAAGAACATGTGCCTTCAAAATTGATACCCTGAGAAGGAACATCATTTATGTAGTATTTCAGCCTGGAATCCTTATCTGGATCTAATCACTGGGAAAGATCAGACAAATTCCAAATGAGGAACATTCTCAAAAAAAGAGGAGGGTGGTGTCGGTTGAATTCTTCAAAAACATCATTGTCATAGAAGACAAAGAAAGGCTCTGTGGAATGTTCTAGATTAAGTTACATTCAGAATATGTTATGACTGAATACAGTAAGTGATTCTAGACTAGATCCTGTACTAGAGGTAAAACAAATGCTCCAAAGGACAATATTAGGTTAGTTGGTCAATTGAAATACAAATGGTAAATTAGGTTTGAAGTGTGCTGTGTTTATGTAAGAAAATATCCTTATTCTTGGGAAATACACACGAAGTATTTGGGGGGTAATAGGCCATTATATATGCAATGTACTTTTTAAAAAAAACTCAGAGGAAAAGTATGTGTGTTTGTGTGTGTGCACACATTTAGTACATACACCCATGAAGAGAGCAATTGATAAAGCACACAGGGTAAAACTTAACCTGACTAAAAGCTACACGTGTTTTCTTTGCAATAGTTTGATTCTTGCAACTTCCCTGCAAGTTTAAAGTTATTTCCAAACAAAATCCTTTAAAAAAAAAAAACCAAACAAACCTGCCCTTGGCAAGTCTTCTTCTGTCTCTGGGCATTCGGTCAACACATGTCTGAGAAACATCACAACTGAGGTGTGTTTATTTATTTATTTATTTTGGCTCCAGCTAGAGAAACCCATAAAAAAAGGAGAGTTTTTAAACTGGTGCTATTTTTAGAGGTTGTAGTAATGTGACTTGCAATAAAATGTATTCCTCAATAAATATAATTGCTCTATTGTCCAAAAAGCACGAGCAGTTTCTGTTTTCATAACAGTAACGGTGGAGTTGTGCTGATAACGAGGAAGACAAAATAATCGTCTCAGCAGGTGATACGTGTTGCTAGATTTGGAAAAGATTTTCAAACAACCAGAAGTGGGGGGAGGGAGCGAGAGCTCCGCAGTACTCAAACATGGTCTCAGAATATAATTTTGATTCTCAATTCTTTTTGATAGAACAAAAAGCTCTTGCCAATATAACATAGTGGCTAAGAGCAATCAGACTGCCTCGTTCAAGTTCCAATTTGCTGCTTACTAGCTATGTGTCGTTGGGCAAGTTACTTAACCCCCGTGTCCCTCAGTTCCTTCATTGTAAAACTGGGGATAATAATAGAACATATCTCAAAGAGTTGTGAGGAATAAATAAGTATATGTAATGTGCTTGGCACAGGAAAAGCATTAGAGAACTGTCTTTAGTTATTGTTGTTTACTTAGTAACAAACATGATGTTAAAATAGGTCATTTTATTATACCTCAAAATGAAGAGAATTCACAAGATCTCAAGATCTCAGAGCTGTTGATATTGATTTGCACACCAACTGGCTAAATTTACTAAGAATATTATTTACACCAACATAAAAACAATCAAGAGACCCACTTACTAGCACACTACTGCCTAGAAGTAGCATGGTACTTAGATTTTATCAATGACAGTGTTAGTTTTATATTGACTGTAATATTTCTAAGTTTTGACTAAAGATTGACTTTGTAATTTCTTAAAAAGTTGCTCTGGCTTACCTTTAAATAATATTCCTTCTAAACTAAGTGGAACCTCTCTAAATACGGCTGCACATTAGAATCATCGGGAAGTTTTTAAACATCCCATTGCCAAGATTGTAACACATACCCACTTAGTCATAATCTATGGGTAACGGGTGAGACCCAGGCATTAGTAGTTTTCCTAAAACACCTCTGGTGATTTCAACGTGTGGCCAGTTTGAGAACCGTTGTGC